ATTTTTAAAATTGATATGTCATTATTTTTGTCTTGAGAAGCTTCACTTTTCGTTCTTATGTCTTTTTAAGCTTTGAAGTCGCGTTCGCATGATAAGGGCAGAAACAAAATTTTACCCCCCCTAAAGTATATTTTTTTTCTTACCAAACGAAAGTACTTAAAAATTCAAGAAAATGTTGCCTTCAAACTATATTACTAAAATAATAAACAAAGGAGTTATAGCACTTTTAATATCACAGGTCAACATGAGTTTCAGATGTAAGTATAATAACACAGTACAACAAAAATTGATTTTTTTTATGCAACAGAGTAACCTAAATTTAAGGATTATGTTGAGAGGATTTCGAAATTTTTATTTTATTTTTTTTTTAACCCTTCGAAATACAGCCGAAAAGGTTTTTTCGTTGAAAGTTGGGTATTTGACGGCCGATTTTTAAAATTAACATGTCATCACATTTCCTTTTAAGCTATGAAGTCGTTTACCCATGGTTAGGTCAGCTAACAAAATTCGCCCCCACAAATTCCTCCAACAGTTTTCTTAGTTGGAAATTTAATCTCACTGCTTTCGTACCAATTTAGGTACATTTTTGCTACGATTTTTCCCAAATTCATACTCTTTGTTTTCGTCGCATCAGCAACCCGGGGAGTGCAAAACTGACGCTGTCAATAGCGAGCTAACCTCTTGTAATTTAATCATGCCAATAAATTTTATAAATTGTGGAAGTCAAAGTAAATAAGTGAGTCAAACCTGTTGTTTCGTATTGATAATAATAATTTATAATTAATACCATAAATTGTGCTGGTGAAATAAAATTAAAAAGTGACTTAACAGTGTGTGCAATTTAAAAATGGCTTTCGTTAAGCGCGATATTGATATTAAAATGTTACCTACGAAACGTGGTGTTATTGAATATTTTTTGTTCCTTAAATATTACGGCTCTGCAAGTGTTCCAAAAAATCGAAGTCTCAATGAATATTTGCCAATAGTTATGAACACAATTTCAAAGTTGTGGCAGCAGGCAAACATCCCTATAGTTACAAGAACTACGCTCCGGAGAAACATTGAAAGCCTCCTTCAAAGTTATTACAATGTAAAAAAACATCCTTATGAATATAATGATCAGGAATGGAATAAAATATTGTTAATTTCAAAGTGTAAGTGCATTATGGACTTAAATCGACAATGTGATTGCCCTAGTGCAAGTAGAGTTCCAACCGCGGTAAATGACTTTCTTTATGATCAATGCGGGCCAAGGCTTTTGTCATTAGATAGTGGGCTTGATCATACTAGAACTGACAATTGCTCGCTAGAATGTAATGTTGAAAATCACACTGAAACCGCTGCAAGTTCGATTGGTTATGTGCCTAGCTCAAGTGAAGACGATGAAGCAAGTGAAGAAGTCACACAAAGTTTAAAAGTATCTGATTTGTCCTTAAAAAATTATTGCTCGGCGTTAGATAGGACGGATACTTCAGATCGCTTTGGATCATATATATAAATATATAAATAAATAAATAAATAAATAAATATGTAAATATAAAAGCCTTGATTCGCGCCAAAATTTGCTTAAGTAGCAATAAATATTGTAAGTGAAATAACTTTTTTGTTGATTATTTTAGTAATATAGTTTGAAGGCAACATTTTCTTGAATTTTTAAGTACTTTCGTTTGGTAAGGAAAAAAATATGCTTTAGGGGGGGTAAAATTTTGTTTCTGCCCTTATCATGCGAACGCGACTTCAAAGCTTAAAAAGACATAAGAACGAAAAGTGAAGCTTCTCAAGACAAAAATAAGGACATATCAATTTTAAAAATCGGCCGTCAAATAACCAAGTTACAACGAAAAAACCATTTCGGCTGTATTTCGGAGGGTTAAAAAAAAAAAAAAAAATTTTTCCAGAACCCTCTCAACATAATCTTTAAATTTAGGGGCGGACATTAGCAACTTTTTTTTTTTGTATGGGGACCGACCCAGTCTAGTGGACACCTTCCACAAAAATATTTTCAGCTGTAAGCCTTTGTAAACCTCTTTCTTTGACAGCCATATAGCCGTATCAATTGACCTAAACTGAAATTTTAAACGCAGGTGGCAACTCTCTCATTTTTTTCTATATTGTAAGCAATTCCGTGTTTTCGAGTGATGCGCTTACAAATATACAGACAGACAGAGAGTCAGAGAGAGTTTCTAAAAATTGTTTATTTGGCTTTTGTAGCTCTAAGAAAAATTCAACATTAATTTTTCTTTAATATCTATAAGGTACAGATATCGGCCTGTTACAATCTTATTATAAGTATAGATATAGATTTCATTTATTTTATCAATTTAATACAATAAATTTTTTCAAACAGGTGGCAACCCTGCCTAAATTTCCTAAACCTCTTCAGTTTGATACCCATATTGCAATATTAAATTTACCTCATAAATTAAATTAATTCAAACAGGTGGCAACTCTAAACATATTTTTGGCTGTAAGCCTTCTTAAGCTTCTTTCTTCTGACGCCCATATTGCAATATTTGCTTTTTCTTATCAATTTACTTAAACTGCAATTTTCAAACAGGCAACTCTCTAATTGTTTGCTTTATATATTTTAAGTTAGACCTCTGGCAATACATCGGTGAAAACTGCATTCAAATCCATGCATTCGTTTTATAGTGATGCGAGAGAAAACATACAGACAGACAGACAAAAATTCTAAAAATGGTTGATTTGGCTTCTGGAGCTCTAATAAATACTCCCCACATTAATTTTTCTTTAATATCTATAATGTACAGACATCGACCTGTTACAATTTTATTATATGTATAGATAACCTCCGCCAATCTGACGGAACTCTATTCAGTGGTTTTTGAGTTAGGTCCGAACAACGAAAACGGCTATAATTTTATGCATATAGGTATGTAGATAGGACAGATCTAGGAGAAAATGGTTCCCAATCGAATGATACTTGCGCGTTTACGTAAACGTATATCGATCCAGCCTTT